GTGGCATTTACAGAGAGACAATAGAAAGAATAAATAAATATTGCCATTGATCTCTGAAATAATACATCTTCTACATTATGGGTCTGTAGAGTTTTACTCATTCATTTTATTTTAGCGCAGAGAACAAGATGCATCCATAATTTTTCCACATCCTGAAAAGGATATTCCAGTAATATCTCTTTGCTTAGGAAAACTACAATTTCCCAGCCACATAAATATTTCAGTAATTTTCTCTCAGTTCATGCGAGTGCCTTTCCAGGCGAGTACTCTAACTCACTTGAGGCTTCCAGCAGCCACAACAGCATTGTCGTCTCTTATTCCAGGTCAAGAGGTTGATGACCTGAGGAAGCCCAGGTGGCTGGCACCTACAGCGCCCTGATGATGTGACCTGCGGGTGACGACATGCTGGATTTCTTATGACGTAGCAGCACTCTGTTGCTATAGATCTCTGAGCCGAGGCTGTGGGTGTTTCGGGATGGGAGAGGAGATGTCATGCTTGTAATGACCAACCCATGACGAAAATTACATAGATCTCTTGGCTTCTCTCAAAAGGAATTTTTATATGGTGCTTCAGTTATAGCACACGCTGCAAGTAAGGCCTAAGGCAGCATTATAACCAAAACCAAAGGGGTAAAGGAAATGTTTTATTCTGCATACTCTAAATAGCATTAAACATGTGCCGGTCTTTTTTTACTGCACTTAGTCATATTTTTAGATTAACAATGGATTAAATGGCTACATACACGTTTAAATACATCACTCAGCTTTACAGAGCCTTTTAGCATCTTTTAGCTAATTGTTCACTACCTGCCCAGCACTAAATGGCAAGATAAAGTTAGCCAGCCAGGTGAAATAGAATGAATCGTCTCCCCATTAAGAAAGTAGGTGTGCGCATTTACGCACGAGATACAGCAATGTTATTGATTATCTGAATCTGGCTCTGAAAGGATCGGCCAGGATGAACTGATAGCAGCATCTCTAATCATGAAAGTAGTTCCTTAAAGCACAAACACAGACTGTAGAAATGTATTTAGGCATGATCCATCAGGGTAGCCGAGCTCCTCCACTGCCTACAATCTCGACCATCGGATTCCCGTAACAGGAAATAATGTTACTTTTTTTTACTCATGGTGCCGATTTGTTTCTCGGTTTTGGTGAATTATTACCACTTAATTTCAGGTTAAAACACATTGTAACGCGTGTTACTGAGATTGCACCAGGTATAATATTACCAATTTTTATTTAGTAATGCGTTATATTACTGCGTTAGGGTGAAAAGCAATAGATTACTGTAATAGCGTTACTCCCAACACTGGCCAGCAGCTACTGGTAGAGGACAATTAAGCAGCTAAAGAGCCAGACAATTTTTCTCAGGAGGTGGCGAAGATGGAATGGGGCTACAAGGAGAGTGAATATTACACTTACTGTACATTTGTGAAGTGTGTTACACCGAGTCTGCTGGGTATGTAAATTGCAACTGTTTGCTAACAGGTCACAATAAAACTAGCTAACTTTCTAGGTTGAAAATACGCTAATGTTGTTTCCTCAACTCATTCCACTGCTCCAGCTTTAAGGGACACAGGGCAATAAAAGTTTCCAAAAAAAGTGTGCGTGTTCATTATACGGCCTTTACTGTACTTTTCAGAAGTACGGAGATATGCACCTTTTTTTGGTCATTGTGGGTAAAGAGTGGGACTAGCAGGCAGTCTTCTCTTTGAGGCAAATCTGAAATCTGACATCTGAAATATATGATTTACCACAGGAGCATGGATTTAAATGGAGGTGTTTAAATAGCATGTTGGGGTTAAATGTATGCAAAAATAGGCAGAGATTTGGCAAAAGCCTAAATAAAACTTGCATTGCAGATACGGTAAGATGTGGTATATTGCCACCACTTAACCATAAATTATAGGGTTTCGATAAAGATGAGAGGATGTGTAAATACTGTGAGCTTAATGAGATGGAAAATTCTTTAATTTATTGTCCTTTATATTTTGGTTTGGTTTACATAAATAAATAAACACTTTGATAGGCTGGTGCATAAATAGATCTCAGTCATGACAGCAAAAGTTATTCAAATAATCACTTCCTCTTAAGTGATTGTGACAACAAAATAAAAGCGCGAGAAGGTTTTTTGCAGCAATGCTTTATTTTCTGTCGAATTGAGAGCTTCTGAAAGATATTCAAGAGTCTGTGGCATGCTTAACACAACTCTGAAATAGCTGTCAGGAAATGTGAGATTGGATTCCCCTGAATGAGAAGCACAGGAATTTCCTCTGCCTGGAGATGCCGGAGAAATGAAAATAAGCATCCATAGGTTGCCTGGATGCACACAGTCCAGAACATGTGAGCATGTGAAACAGTCTCTTCAAAGTTAATTTGTTGAAGAGAGAAAAAAGAAGTTTGCGCAAGGGGGAACCAAACGCACTACCCATCCGATTAAAAAGCCTGTGCACTGACTGAGCTAACCGGACACTCAAACCAATTTGCCTACAGCATTAATAACACTGAAAAAACACGACAATGGTGGTGATATTGCTAGATATTCAGCACTTCCTTAGAACTTCAGAAAACTATTACAACTCTGTTCCAACACATTTGTTTCTGACATATATCAAACCTGCGTGATGACGATAACTCATAACAATTTACTACCACATTATAAGCCCCGTCCCTGCAAGGTTACTCCGCTCTTGCTGTTGCAGAGCAGAGCGGAATAAGCCGCTGTGAGCAGCTCTGCTGTGCGCTCCCCGCCATCACTGCTGCAGAGCTCCGCTCAGCTGTTCTCTAGTATATTTATTAATTTTCAACGTGTTGCGTGTTGAAATTGCACCAAACGTGACACTGCACTCCCTTGGGTTCGCAGCAACACACCCGCCAAGTTTGAAGTCGATTGGAGGAATGGTTCCTGACATAATCAAAATACAAAGACACAGATTTCTTCCTTCATTAAAGAGATAAAATGTATTAGTCATTTCTGAATTGACTGTGTTATTTATGCGATTAATTAGTAGTGCATACTGTATGTAAGCTTTGTCTGTATGTAAGCTGTATTTAAGTTTTGTTTTGGTTATATTAGTTTAAATTGGTTTATGTGAGGCTGTGTGTATGTATTAATTTAAATCTCTCTGTTGGGGGAGCTTTTGGAAATTGTCACATATAGATAATTTAAATAATATTTCAATGATATAAATATAAAATGATTGATTTTGTTTTCTGATTCACCCACCAGCCATCATCTTGTGTTATTGTTGGCCAGGAAAATGCTGCAGTCTGTATATGCCTGAAAAGAATTCAACATGTATGCCGAGTATGCTGGGTATTATTGTGTCAGCAATAACATGTCTCAAAATGTCCACATTGACTATCGATGCATCATACTTAGTGTAATTTGTCTTGGGTAAGCCTTTCAGGAATACTAAAGAGGTGCCTTCATTGATTCACATGCAAATACTCAGCTGTTATTAGCAAGTGGATTGACTGATTGATCATGAAGCTGCATGCATATGAGCTGCTGGATATTCTGTATAAGATGGGGAAGAATCTACCTCTGCTTTTCCTAATCACCCATTTGTATTTTAATATGGTCTTTCTATGCAACATGCATAAATGCGTACACTGACACATACTCTATCACACACAAGGCCCTGGCACGTCTGATTATCACCCTCACGTCTCTTCATATACTGGTGCCCAGAAGACGGTAGAGACATGACAATGAATGCTGCGTGTGTGTGTGTCTGCGTACATCTGTGACAAGCATCACAAGTTTCCTGATGGGCGAGATTCAGCGATTACCTTTTCAGCACTCACCATCCCTCTGTATCTCCATCCTGATCCCTCCTCCTAATAATTGACTGCAGGGTAAGGGCTCTATGTGTGTGTGGTTGTGTGAGTGTGTGTGTGTATTTGTGTGTGTGTGTGTGTGTGTATTTGTGTGTGTGTGTGTGTGTGTGTATTTGTGTTTCTGTGGGCTGCTTCTCTGATTAGACAGCCGAATATACTTTGTATTCAGCCATGGCACTGCCTCCCCCGACTGGCATAGCTAATGAAGTGCCCGTGCCCCTCCCTTGGCACCAGTGTGTATGTGAAAAAGAGAGAAAGTGAGAGAGAGTGTGGTGCATAGAGTCAAGCTGCAATTAAAAGGCCTGTCAATGGAGTCTGCCATAACAGAGGCTCGGACTGTCACTATCCACCAGCCTCAGCACACACTGTATGGAGCGAGAGGGGGAGGAAGCAGTGGGCACAGGGACATGGGGAAGAGAGAAGAATGAAGAACGAGAGACGTCTATAGCAGAAGAAGAGAAGAAAAGAGAATGAGCTGGTGAAGGTAGAGAAAATCCACAGTAGGCAGGTGGTTTGTTTGTTAATCCACCTGGCCGTATAGTGTAAATCCGCTGTTTTAATTAAGGCTAGATTACAAACTGAATCACAAAGAGCACAAAAAACAAGTGCAGCACTCTTTGTTCTGAATGTTGTATGCCGCCCTTGTGACCACACCCCCAATCAGTGATGTCACAGCAGATCATTGTTGTAACCTGCTCAGGGGACTGTACCACGAAGCGAGTCCTACATACCCAGGATGTATTTTCGTTATGTGGCTTCGACAACCCAAACAATTACGATCAGGATAAACGGTACCACGAAGCTGGTTATCAACTGTATTAAATTAATTTACTTTCTCACTTTACTCCAATATTTGGTCTTCAGAGGCCAGCATTTTACGAACAAACAAACAACAATTCTGTTCTAACGGTAGCAAAATTTACAACACTAGTGACATTGAATGTTGGTACTGTTAGTTGAGCAATAGTCAAGTATTAGTACCAGTATAATAATAGTACCAGTATTTTCAGATAGTGCCTAACTTAACATAGATGACACAACAAATAAGATAAGAGATAACGACCATATTGACTTGACACCATGGACTGTGAGTTTATGCCATGATGAAGAAAAGAATGTTTCTTGTGTTTGTGTTTAAGAAGCACACCATGTCAAATGTTCATCCAGGAGTCATTGATTTTACTTTAGTCGGGATAGCCAGCACAGCCATTTTGTTTACAGTGGTCAGTGGAACATACACTCTTACTGTACACACACACACACACACACACACACACACAACCTGTCCCTCCCCACCGTCTCAGAGCAGGATGCGGTATTTAAGGGTGCGGGGGACCCTGTTGATGACGAGGCGTCCGTCGTAGCTGAGCGAGGCGAAAAGCCAGGGGTCAGCCGACGACCACTCCGCTGCATACACGCTGTCTTCATGTTCCTCATAGGTGGACACCACGCTGTCCTTTAGGGGCTCCTTACCCCTGAATCACAAACACACACATAAAACAAAGAGGTGAGTCACGGAAACTAGAAGAGGAATTCATCACATCACTTCATGCAGGTCTCTGTTTGTCTTGACCAGCAACATATGGAGGCTACATAGACAAAATGACTTCTTTTTAATTGTTTTTACTAACCAGCCAATGTAAAATGTGACAACACACCATGAGACAAGCTGCATCAAGATGATGTAACTTAAATATTTGTCGAATGTACAGTATTAGATGGAATCCATAGAAATAAGCATTATTAGGTCACCAGCCACCATCAGCACCACGAGGACTGTGATCCGACCAGGTCTGAAGGCAAAAGTGTTCTGGCCGGCCATACTGGCAGAATAAAAGTCCTGCCATCACAGAGTGGAACAAGACACGATCATCATTGAAATGGGGATAATGGCTCACATTTTCGTAGACTCTTTCCTCAAAGGCATAGACAGAAGTAGTGGGGAGAATTAGAGCTTGTTTTTTTTTTTTCTTTTTCTTTTTTTTTTTTACCTCTGCACACCTGGCCAGCCACGGCGTAAAATTGGAACGATTGTCAGACGGCCCATTTGCAGAGCCCATTGTTAAAAATAAACTGAAATCATCATTGTTCAATCATGTTTACTACCTTGCAGTCTTCTTTTTCACTGCCTTTGAGGGAGCACTGCTGCACTGCTTTGTGCATTACCATCAACTGTCACTCAGCAGAATAGCGTGAGCCGGTGTGGGAATGAGTATTACGTCCCCAGCATGCTTATGTGCATGTGAGCATGTGCATCCTTGTTAAATGCATGTTAAAAACACTCCTGTAAAAACATTGCTCCACAGCACTACTAGTGGTCATTAACTCCGCATGGTACCTTTAACAGTTTGTTTATATATAGAAATGAACAAATATGATGGAATTACCTAGTACTTTCCAACTGTATACAATATATATTTTAGATATTTTATGTAGTGAGTGATCTTTACTCAGAACATGCTGTAGCTCTCTCTCTCTCACACACACACACACACCCCCTCTGTTTTATCTCCTTCGTGTTGTGGACCACACACACCAGTACCTGCTGAGGACTGGAGAATATTTACTTTGTTTATTCACTATTTCTCCGTCTTCAGTACACAAACAGCAACCCCCTCCAACGCTGAGGCAGTTCTCCCACTGCTACCACAATGTGACAATAAAAAACATTTTAGAATTATGATCTAGCATTATTGCCATCCCAAATTTCTCCCAAACACACTGCTGTAAGTAGTCCTGAAGGAAAACAGTGACATACATATTTGGATTTATTTTACACATTAACTGTTTCACACAGACAGTAGCTGCTCCCTCTGGGCTGTAGCCTAAAATATAAACACTCAAAGTGCTCTGCTCGTATAGATTGATTTGGTAAAAAAAGAAAGAGAGGGTATCTGTAAGAGCACTTGACTGATGGAATAAAACAGTGTATATATGTATGTATGCGCATACATATATACGTACATACACACACACACCCACGGTTTTCATCTTGGGAAAAAAAGGAAAAATCTCCAATTTCATTGAACTGTTGAATTTTAAAAGCAACCAGAAACTAGTCCTACCACTGGAGGAGTTCTTTACGTAGTGTCCAGGTACTGTGGAGTGGACACTGCACATACAAGAGGGGTTAATAAGTATAGTGGAAGGGTTAAAACTAAAGATGAGTGCTGGTGATTAGGAAGAAGAGTTGATAATTGTGGATGAGAGTCGGTCATTGAGTGTAAGAGCTGGTAGTTACAGATGAGAGGGGGGACGGGACCATAATGGATGGAGGACAGTGGTAGATTTGAAAAGTGCTGAATAGTACCCATTACAGACAGATATCCTTACAATCGTCTGTAATGGTTACTAAAAGTCGAGTCTAAATGCTACAGAGAAAACCTCCTCAAGTGTTTTGACAGTAAGATATGTCAGTGCTTTACCTCTCTACTTGTATCATTCTGAGTGAAGTAAGTGGAGGTTCAGGTAGCTTTAATCTTTGGAGGACTAATATTAAATTCACAGCACATTTGTGGACACCCTTTAATATCTCAGTTTGTTTCATTAGGCACCAGAAATGTACAAGAGAGGCATAATCAAAAAAAAGGGTTCGGTATAGAAACAGTATCAAAACTGAAGAAGGGGTGTCACTGTCCAAATAATTTTAAGATGATAAAGGTCATTCATCAATAATGATGCAAAAGATGTTCAGAGCGGGAAAATGTTTTATCTCAAAAAAAAAAATCAATGCAACTGTGCATCTAAAATAAGGAAATCACATCCCCGGTACGGTTTAACAGGTGGGAGGAGAAGGATGGTTTACACATGGTTATAAACATCAGTAACTGGCAATGAAGCTGATAATGTACCATTCATTTCACATTTTCCTTCCTATTTCTTCCCTTATCTGTGAATACGGACGACTCTCTTGAAGCAATTCACCAAAAACGAAGACACTTATCTGTGAACTCAAGGTTCTTTCACAGCGAGGTGAGATACTGTGGACAGTTAAAACAGATTTGACCCTGGCCACTGCTAGGAAGTTTACTTTCATGCATTAGTATTATTATTATTATTACTCTTATTAAGGTGTTTGGTGATCCCCTTCGGGAATTTCAATTTAGATTAATAGTGCCGAAAGGAAAGAAAATTAGTTGACAAATATTTAATAATACACAAATTAGTTAAATCATTTATAATGCAAAAATGCCAAACATCTACTGGTTCCTTTCCGAAGTATAAAGGCAACTTGACTTGCTTGCACCTCTTCATATACTGTGGCCTGGATGACTGGTTCAAGCTTTTCAAATGTTAGAATCTGCTACTTTTGATTGTAAATGAAATATCTTTGGGTTTTGGACTGTTGGTCAGACAAACACTGACAATGTTTTAACATTTTATAGACACAAAAATGTGATGATTAGTTAAAAAATAATTGATAGACTAAACGTGAATGAAAGTATCACTATTAACGGCCCTAAAGATTTCTCATGATCTAACCGGCAGAATGTATGTACTTAGCACACTGATGCTCCCAAGGAGAGGAATTATGACCTCATGACCTTTTCTCTCACACTGCCCTCAAGAAGAAAAAAAAAACATGCATTTATAGTAGCACTACTGGAAGTTCTATGAATTTCAAACTAGTAAGTGTGATGTTTCTTTCATCCAACACTACACTGTATTATTTTAACTGTGAACACTGGAATGTAGCTGAGGAGTCACTAGTGACAAGTGCGAAACTTGTGATGGTGATAACAACCTTCTAATTGGGATAAATTCACATGTTCCTTACTTAAGGGAAAAATGTATTTATTTATGGCCGTAACTGATAGAAGAGCTACACCAGAGCTCCAAAAAATAAAATCCAAGCTGTAATAATCATTATTTTCATTTAAAGCCATTATGTTACTATCTTCAACTGGACCATCCTTGAAAAAAAACCCAATTAGTACGGACTTGTAGATCACTGGAAGCATTTCCTTTTCTAACAAGCCCGTGTTGCTCTTACTTGTCCTCCTGGTGGTTGTCCTCCCCCTCACTCAGCTCCTCATCATCCACCAAGTGTCCGAATGGCTCTGAGGAGATGGACACCATATTGGAGAGGATGAGGCGACTGTCACTGCTGGCTGTCAACACCAGCTGGTCATGGCTGTGGTTGTAGCGGACGCTCCACACCCTGGGACAAAAACACATGTTACCAGACACGCATTCAGCATTTAACAGTGCAGCATTGTGGGAAAGTGCAGTCCAATCTACATCCACGCATGGATGTATTAAAAAGTCCACAGCCATGTGTGTATCTTCCATTGTTCCGAGAAACCAGCAGTAACCAAGCCCTGACTGCAGTGATATTATTATAGTGAGTGCGTAAAAACACTCCCACATATATGTTGAGGCTGTATGTAAAGGCAAACCACACGTGCTGAAACACTGTCTCCATCTCTTTTTCACATACTCGTGCACACACAAATCATGCAGAAAATGCAGTGTTCTCACATTGGGATTCACAGTAAAATACACCTATCTGGGTGTGTGTTCAGATGCCAAAAATGGGGATTTGATACCTTGCAGTCTATATTTCTGCTTAGTTTTCAATTCAGTTCTTCCTCACCTTTCCTCTCTATATTTTTATCCCCTTTTTCTATTTCTCTCATTGTCAACACTGTCTCCCTCTCTTGCTCTTTTTCATTCTTTCTCTCTTGTGTTTGGCTATGTCTCTCCCTCTCTCTGTGAGCCCGGGGCATAGCTCAGAGTGCGGCACCAGTTCCCTCACAGGGAGAGATTGAGGGATAACCGAGGCTGTTGACAGGAAATCAGCCTCGGCCACGCTGTTCCCCGCGCTCCCCCTAATCCGCTTCCCTTCTAAAAAATAGTCCCTAATACCCCCTGAGGCTGCTGGGAGTATTAGCATCCTGGCTACGCTCCGAAAAATGAGCGCGCACAACAAACACACACACAAACACGGACACACTCAGGGAAACACCCACACATATATGCGTCACACTAAGGATGAGTGTCCACACAGGACAAATACACAAAGACATATGCATATGCATTATAGAAATGCGTGAACATACACAAATGCATGTAGCCACACACAGAGATAAAAGGAGAGTCCTTCCAAAAACACAGATTTGATGGTGGCGCGCACACACACACACGTATCACCTATCTAAAGAGATTCCATCTGCAGCTATCTATAGTTATGGATATGTTTGCCAAGTCTATCTTTCTTTTGGAGATAACGCCCGCTGTAGCGTGTGTGTGTGCATGTACACAAAGGCATACGTGTGTGCATATGCTTGTGTGTGTGTGTGTGTGTGCACGCACGCACACACGCATGCATGCACGCGCCTTTACCAGGTGAGGATTGGTGTGCTGCAGCAGTAGCCCAGTTTGGCTCGCAGACGCACAGACCATCTATTCAGCTCACACAGGAAAGTGTCTCGCATGCAAACACACGCGCGTGCGCACACACACACACACACACACACACACACACACACTTCAGCAGTACATGTTCAGCTCTTAGCAATGCCTGAAGCTTCACAGAAGACAACCTAGAGCAGGACTGGGCTGCATTCGACCCACAGTGAATCCTTACTGACAAAATGAGTAGCTGCCTATTTAATTAGTAATTAGTGTATTACTGCCTTTTATTGCACCAGCAGTAGTTAGTGCATTTCATTAGTTAGGAGATAAAGCCATTAATGAAACCAGAAACAAATCAACAGTGGAGCAAAGGAGTTATCATCATGTTTATTATTTCTGTTTTTTTAATTATTTACTGAGTTTTCCTGAATGCGTCTAAATTACACTCCAATTACGCAAATACAGTAGAATTACATCAACTTTTTAAGTTGTAAAATGAAATGAAATGATAGATTACTTTTTCACCTTGTTTGGTAATATTTCTTGTCTATTCTAATCAAGTTCAGTGAGCTGTAGGGAAATGCTGGAATTTTAAACACTACTGGGAACTACAAAAAGGGGAGTGTCTCTTTAAAGAAGCAACTGATCGATATCTTGGTAGATCTATATGAAGATATCTAAAATCCAGCACCTCAGTGCCAACAAATAAAACATTTACTAACTCATGTTCCACTTGGTACACACAAATTGTCTCAACAACAAATTACAATAACAAAATGTATCTCTTACCCCTAATGGTATGTAGCCATGCACATACTTTTTGTGTTTTATTGCCCTGATTTTAGGATTTCCAACTCTGAGCTTTCTGCCTCCACTCCAATAAAATGGAGGTAAATGGAATGTTTTTTAAACTGCCAGTTGTCTCTGACTATGAGTTATTTGACCAGCTGATAGTATCAATTCTCCTGTTTGGAAAAGATGCATGCTTTCACAATCTTGAAGTGTTTCATTGAAATTTGAGGCTGTTGCACAACAATTACAATACAAACTACACTGAATATGGCAAGCTGAAGAGATCCGGTTAGATAACACTGTAAATATTTTTCAATCATTTTAGTGCATTTAAAGAGCAGTGCAAAAAATGTATCATGTACTGTGTTTAATTTGCTACAGAAACTTTATGACAATAGTGAATATTATATTTCTACAGTTAATTAACTTACAGTATGTGGATACTCAGGAGTGGCACAATGAGGTCTATGATAACGCTCAGTGAAGATATGGATTTGGTGAACTGACCCTAAAAGGATGACTTGGACTTCCTGGAAACCAGTGCATCTTTAAAGGTAACTAATGGTAAAACTAATGCTGCAGTAGTGGGGGACAAAATTTCTTAAACAAAAGGCCGTCTTCCTGCTCATCCAAATCACACAGCCACTCTGACTGTCAACGTGTCACTGTGTTACGTCCCGCACCAACACTGTATTTAAGCAGCAAATACATCACATTAACGGTTGTGGCAGGGATCTAGAAACAAAATCTGAACATAAGCTTGTCTGTCATTGGAACTTTTCACTCATCCCTCCCTGCATGTATTAATGAGAAAAATGCCTTAAATTTAGGGAGCAAGATTCTCTCAAAATGCCATTTAAGGGAATTATATTCAAATGATATTGAACATTGGCACGTAATACCTGCTATCAGAAGGTTCACTGACATGTGTCTTTAAAAACGTGTACTGTCTTCTTTAATCCACGTACTACAAAAAATTGTTTGCCACCCAAACATGGGAGAATGAGAGCAGGTTCTGTTTAAGCGTGCCCCTAGCTTTGCTTTCTAAAACGGGAATTTGAACTAAGGTCCTTTGGTTCAAGTGCAGTACCCACTCCACTACCCCCCCTGCCTGGACCTCTCTCTGGACCCTCCCCACCAATCCACCCACCAGTGTGAGTGTTCCTCCAGGGTCTTGACGGGCTCCTGGACATTTCGGACATCCCAGAACTTGACCTTGCAGTCGTCCCCGCAGCTGGCCAGGTAGTACTGGCGGTTGGGGTTGAAGTCCAGGTCACGCACCAGCTGGCCGTGGGCATTCTCAATACAGTAGATCTGACTGGAGAGGAGAGAGAGCGACAAGAAGAGAGAGGTGATTAGAAGGGAGGGAGAAAACAGGAGGCATGGAGGGGGAGACAGATGAGAGGAGAGGCAGAGAAAAGAATTAGGATGGAGGGATAAGAATGAGAGGAAGCAGCCGGGGAGAGAAACGATAAGAAAGAGGAATGGAAGAGAGGGAGAGAGAGAAGGGGATATGACAGAACAACAAAAGGAGATATGAGAGAGTGAGAGAATGATTCACAGGGTCCACACAAGCTAGAACATTCTCAGGCTAAATCAAAGCCTCCTCTGTGTCTGTGTCTGTCAGCGAAGGCCAGGCTCAATAAAGAAGCCGACACCGGCGGTGGTAAATTATAACGGCAAGCCTCATAACCGCACAGCCTTGAGTTCCTGCTAGAGTGAAGTTAACAGAATGACATGACAGAGGAAGAGAGGTGCTCTCAGCATTGTGTCTCATTCCATCTTTCCGGCCACCTCCTCCACCCACCTCCTTTCATCCCCTATAAGTTTTCATTGGCTCACTTTATCTTCTCTCCTTAAATATATACTTTAAAAAAAAAGATACTATTGCGCTTCTATTTGCTTACTCTCCTGACCTTCCAACCATGCCTTTTCTTTACATATTTCTAAGAGCCAAATTCAGCTATAGTAATGGTCATTTTCAACAAATTATCTTCTCTCTGACTGGGAACCATAGTTCACTAAATACAGTGAAGGTTTCTGTGCCTGTTAGCTTGCTTTGGCTACGGTGCTAAAGTGATTTAAAGCAGCACTTTAATATTTTATAACCTACCACTTAACTGAATGACATGTATTGTGAAAAGTGTTGCTCACTGTGTACGCACAGAGAATTATCATCGGGTGCAGTTTTCCTCAGCCCATCTTTGTTTTGGTTTTCTGGCCCACAAACCCTGCTCTCATTAGCCTCATTTCCAGACGCAGCAGACTGCTGTTTTTAGCAAAAAAAGCTCTATTTTTCTTCTTTTAAAAAAAATGACGTCTATAATTATGAGACCAAAACAAAGCTAAAAGGAGAGTGAATATAATGTTGGATGAGTAAATAAGCAACTGTTGTCAGCAGACCAATATTCCAGCTGATGTGCATGTTGTCTAGCGCTGTCACCATTATTATGGAGGTAGAGTTGAAGAGAACGCATTTTCTTTGACTGTCAAAGAACAGATCCTTGGGTTAATCATGGTAAGAAATCACACTCTATGATAGTTAGGTTGCCTGTGTGAATGTAAAAGTTAGTCATTCTCAAAAAGCTAGTGTGAAATTGTTATGACTTAGATTGATACTCGGTCGAAATAAATATCTGGTCCAGATAATGTACTTTTAATACAGTACATAGAGTACAAAACTATCAATATTGGAACCTTTTGAAAAAAAATCTTACTATTGTAATCAAAAACATTGCTCTGAAGCTCAATTCTGAGGCTGTTCTGTAAATAATAATAAATATTGCAGCTTCTGACCAACACACACCATTACCCATTAGGGTAAAGACCCGCCCATTCCGAGTACAGATACCGATCATTTAATTTATTGAACAGATACATACACAGAGACAGAAAGTGGTGTACCTGCTCATCCCTAATACATACATTCAATAAAAATGTCAGATGCATGAAATTGTTGAAGTGAAATTCTGACCAGGAAACATATGCAGAGAGTGGAGAGAGGCGTGATAGCAAGAGATCAGCGTCCTTCTTGTCTGTCCACTGTCACATGCTTCTCAGAAACACCTCAAGGATTTAATGGAAACAATTTTTTTTATTTTGCAGGTGAAATAACAGTTAGCTTTTAAAACTGGACCAAATGTAATTTTTTTTTTAATGCAACATGAGACTGGAGAAAATCATTACTTGTTTTCTTCCTCACCCTTTCCTCTCCAGGCTAGCCTAGCAAAGCTCAGCTTGGCACAGTTTTGTTCAGCAGAGTGGAAAGCCTCAGTGTTATGGCCCAGCTGGATGCCAACCGCAGCTAGCCAGCTAGCTAGTCACCCTGCTGATCAAGTGAGGCAATTAACATGCTAATTAAAAATCCCATTAAAATAAAGGAGGTATAAGAGAATGACCTGGGGCAAACCGCTGGGCTTCAATTAGGTCAAGACAACTCAGGGACTGTGTGTGACTCTGTGGGTGTGTATATTTGTACGTGCTGTCACTGGATTGTGGCACTGGTGTTAGCATATGGAGCTTGACAGAAAATGTTGAATAACAAGTATAGGCTTCCACTGAAAACACACATTTTTCATGGAACATAGATTGTGCATACATTTAAATTACTGATTGTGTACAAATGAGGGTACATAAATGTGGTTTGCACTTTAGTATGTATATGCATAAACTCCCTGTCAAAAATCCCTCCCACTTTGGTTATAAGGCATTTGTTTTGTTATCTGGATATTTCCAAACATGAGCTATGTTCCATTTGCATAATATATACTATACGTAAATATGTAGGGAATTCTCACTGGAAAAAAAGCCAGCATACAGACCTAAAATCCCTTTTCTGATGATCCTCTCTGCATGGAAACGCAGCAGCTATGCACACCTGATAAAACAACTGAAATAATCTCAGGACAGTGATGCTATAGCTCTGAGAGCTCAGGAATATGGGATAAGTTCACCAATTTCAACATGGCGTTAGTGAACCAAAGCCATTATTTGGTTGATGTCAGACTGTTTTCTATCAAAGTTTATAAGGAGTTCAAGTGTGTGTGAATATATGGCAAATTTATCTTAGCTATATTAAGGTCTAGGTGATATGACGCTATTCACTGCCAGGAGATGTAAATTTGTCTACCATCAGCGATTTACTTTTACTGTGGAAGTAATTAAATTCCGTTTCACTAAAACACAAATGAAAATGCTGGCTTTTGATAGCTGATTCCGTTTGGATCCGCTTCCATATAAATAAAACACTAACTAATAAAGCTCCTTTCAAACATTTTTATTTCTCCTCCATCTTATTTTTAAATTAGCAATATGCAAAATGTTGAGTTTCTCATTTCTGGATGGCACAGATTGTCACTTTTGCCAGTTAAAATGACAAACGTTCCTGGGGCTTATTATATCAGCTGTAGATCATTAATATAAGTGTTGTAATTAATTCAAGCCAGTTTCTGTGTTTGGCCAAAGATCATTTATGGGTTGTGTAATTTATGAGACCACCCTTAAACATCACTACAATCATGAGTAACCAGTGTCCTTTATGAGTTTAACAAAACCAACAGAGTGATGAGTTATTGTATCCATGAACAGTTTGATCTGTATCACAATATACAGACGGGGGACAATTTAAAGGAAAAACCTGAATCAAGAGTAACATACAGGTGCTGGTCATATAATTTCAGTAATTCCATTCAAAAAGGGAAACTTGTATAATGTATACATTCATTCCACACAGACTGATATATTTCAAGTGTTCATTCCTTTTAATTTTGATGATTATAACTGACAACTAATGAAAACCCCAAAATCAGTATCTCAGAAAATTTGAATATTGTGAAAAGGTTCAATACTGAAGACACCTGGTGCCACACTCTAATCAGCTAATTAACTCAAAACACCTGCAAAGGCCTTTAAATGGTCTCTCAGTCTAGTTCTGTAGGCTACACAATCATGGGGAAGACTGCTGACTTGACAGCTGTCCAAAAGACGACAAAAGGTCATTGCTAAAGAGGCTGGCTGTTCACAGAGCTCTGTGTCCAAGCACATTAACAGAGAGGCGAAGGGAAGGAAAAGATGTGGTAGAAAAAAGTATACAAGCAATAGGGAAAACCGCACCCTGGAGAGGATTGTGAAACAAAACCCATTCAAAAATGTGGGGGAGATTCACAAAGAGTGGACTGCAGCTGGAGTCAGTGCTTCAAGAACCACCACGCACAGACGTATGCAAGACATGGGTTTCAGCTGTCGCATTCCTTGTGTCAAGCCACTCTTGAACAAGACACAGCGTCAGAAGCGTCTCGCCTGGGCTAAAGACAAAAAGGACTGGACTGCTGCTGAGTGGTCCAAAGTTATGTTCTCTGATGAAAGTAAATTTTGCATTTCCTTTGGAAATCAAGGTCCCAGAGTCTGGAGGAAGAGAGGAGAGGCACAGAATCCACATTGCTTTAAGTCCAGTGTAAAGTTTCCACAGTCAGTGATGGTTTGGGGTGCCATGTCATCTGCTGGTGTTGGTCCACTGTGTTTTCTGAGGTCCAAGGTCAACGCAGCCGTCTACCAGGAAGTTTTAGAGCACTTCATGCTTCCTGCTGCTGACCAACTTTATGGAGATGCAGATTTCATTTTCCAACATGACTTGGCACCTGCACACAGTGCCAAAGCTACCAGTACCTGGTTTAAGGACCATGGAATCCCTGTTCTTAATTGGCCAACAAACTGGCCTGACCTTAACCCTATAGAAAATCTATGGGGTATTGTGAAGAGGAAGATGTGATACGCCTGACCCAACAATGCAGAAGAGCTGAAGGCCACTATCAGAGCAACCTGGGCTCTCATAACACCTGAGCAGTGCCACAGACTGATCGACTCCATGCCACGCCGCATTGCTGCAGTAATTCAGGCAAAAGGAGCCCCAACTAAGTTAGTTGTCAGTTATAATCATTAAAATTAAAAGAAATGAACACTTGAAATATATCAGTCTGTGTGGAATGAATGTATACATTATACAGGCTTCACTTTTTGAATGGAATTACTGAAATAAATCAACTTTTTATGATATTCTAATTATATGACCAGCACCTGTATATATAACATACAATAACATAACATATGCAGATGTTTCTATGCGCCAGGGCTCACTGAATGATTTAGTGTCATGATCAGATGATGTGCACGCAACAGGTCATAGAAAAAAATGTCAGGTGAGCAGGGTTCCCACTCTTTTCTACAGATCCTTTTCCAGGACTTTTCCAGGATATTTTCAGTGATAATCTAGCTGGTATGAGATCAAATCATACACTAATATGTTCCTCTCTGCAAATGTTT